CATTCAGAGTGCTCTCTTTGACCACATTCTTTCACAAAAAATAAATAACCCTCAGTAAGATTATTGACAGGATGTTGTACATGTGGCTGTTGGACTGCAACTCCTATATTGTCTCAGCATTAGCTATGCTTTTGGGACTGATGGGAGTTGTAGTCCAACAACATCCTGAAGGCTTTATATTAACTACTTTGAGATTATGCTGGGACACACTTACACTTTATTAAAGGTGGGAAGAGGAAGTCCGTCATCGAGACCGGGCCTCACAAGCTGGGGACGTGAGACCACCAGCTGTCAGCAGGGTTCCTTTCCCCCCTTCATCTTCAACCCCCACAAAGGGCTTTCCCTTGGAAGAGGCTGGTGCCTGCTTGCTTCTCCCCCAGCCTCACACCACCCTCCTTATTAGCATGTGGCTACTGATAGATAGATAAAAACTTCATTACAGTCAAAGACCAGCTCCATTCAATAAATACATAGATTTAAAGAAGAAAATACCTAAAAGATTGTCTTATAACCCCACTCGGATTAATAAATACTTTGACACAATATCAGTCATCCTAAGTCGGTGACATTCCCAGACTTTGTCCTTGTCCAACTAGGTAGGGCCACACTCCCTCAGGATCTGTCTTTGGACACCCATTGTGGCCGCCAAGTATTTAGCAATGATGTTTGTTATTGTCGGGTTAGTGTCAGACAGCAGTATATAGATATATTGTTCCATATGGCCCAGGAAGTGATTCTTCAGTGAGGAAATGAATGCAGTGCAAATATCCCTGCAGAATGTGCACCTCGACAGTTTCTGTCTGTTTCATCCCACAGCGGCAAAGGCTCTCTGACCAGGGAAACTTTTTATACCATCCCTCCGAAACTGCCCAGGGGAGTGTGTTAAGGCAGGCCAAGGTAAGAGCCCTTCTGTGTTTATGGAGTTCCAAATGTTTGCGATATGGTGCAGCTATTACAATGTGTCTATAGTCCTCCCTAAGATAGAATTCAGGGGCTCAATTGAGATCGCTTTGTCTTTCAATGTCTGCTATGCACTGCTTGACGGTTTCCATTGCCTGTTCCAAACCCATATTTAGTACAGTCTGCAGGGGAAGGCCCAAGAGAGCTATTTTCTGCTTGATTGATTTAATCCAGTTGGATTTGAAATTGCATGTTGCTACTGGTGTAGGGCTCTTAGCCATGTGGAGTTCACTGTAAGTGTGGCATCCTCCCACATTTTGTGGACTAGTTCTGGGGAACTCTGTTTCCTCAAACCTCTTTTGTGTCTCTTTTTCAAGACTTTGTCCTTGAAAACACGTAAGAAGAGGGCAACATTCATGGATGTAGCTTTGACAGAGGACGAGGAAATGGGTGCATCCTTGGCTGGGAACTTTGAACTGCAATATGAGGTATAAATCCTGTTTCCTATAGCTGTTGCAAGGAAATAAAAAGGAACAGAGTCCCCCACTGTACTGAGGAAGCCAGAGAGAAAAGGGACCAGTTCATGGGTCTGAACCGCGGCACTCTAAGCACCACTTTTCCCCATAGGAGCCTACTCAGTGCCTGAGGTTAGCTTGAGGGACAGCCTTTGTTGTGCTCAGGTCATCTCTGGGAGCGATACACCTCAAAAGGAGGCACCTGCCTTCCTGTTACCTCAGTAGGTGCAGGATCATGTGCTGGGGTCTAAGAAGCACTTCCAGAGGGGAGCATGCCCTAGCCTTAATTCACACAGATACACAGCACACTTAGAAAGCAAAGGAAAGTTTATTCAGGAGCAAATATAGGGTGGGCACAGAATGCTGATCCCAATGTTATTTAGGCAGCAAATATCCCTAGTGCATCCCAGACTCACTCTGTATTTCTAAAGAGGTGAAAATTCTCCTGCCTAACAGCCTTGCAGAGAAGCTAACAGAAAAGAAGAGGTCCAAGTCTACTACCCATCAGTCAGTTGTGCCGTGAGCCAAGGTTCCTCCTTCGAATGAATGCCAGCCACAAGTCTTTTCTGTGTAAAATACTCTCAGCGTGCAACACACCTCCTCTCAGTTCTCTGTTCCTCCAGTTGGGCCTCTCAGCTCTGCTGTTGTCTCCCCTCTAGGTCAGAGAGGAGTAGTTCAGGAATGGGCCTTTTCTGTAATAGCCCTGCATTTATGAAAGTGCCTTTTTGCCCAGGGTTGTTAAATGGCTACTAATCTGCTGTGCCTGCATTGTTTCTGTTGCAGATTGGAGATCCGAGCACTGCACAAGGAATCCGTTGTGTTTCTCTTTTCTCTGTTACATAACCTTTAGGTGGCACTATGTTATAGTGGAAGAACACAGATATGCATAAGAGAGAAAAGGAGATTTGTGCTTTTGCAATTAAATACCACACTTTCCCCACTCTAAAAAGAACTCACTGAAAGTGCTCTTTAGAAAACAACCCTGTGGCTGTAGACATTGCCAGTTAAGACAGGCATCATTCAGATCCCTGCTTAGAGGTTGGAGATGCAGCTCCAGTCCCCCTCCCTGCCCCCTTGCAGCTGGTGCTCTCTGTGACTGGGAAAGCCACCTCAAAAAGGGGTGAAAGAGAGTGTTTAAAGGGATCGGGGGAGGGGGGGACTGGAGGAACCAGTTACATTGTAATTGTAATTGTGGCATCCTTCCATCTTTTGAGGAGCAGCTCTGGGGAACTATGTTCACTCAGTATAATTTTGTGTCTCTTTCTTCTAAGGCTTTGTCCCTGAAGAAGCATAAGAAGCCCAAGAACCAAAGGGATATATCCTGGCCTCAGGTCTTTAAGCTGCAAAATCAGGTATATATTTTTTCTCCAAATATTACAGAAATAGAAACAGGGCCCACCATTGTAGCAAAGTAACCTGAGAGAACAAGGAACAGTCCATGGCTTAGAGCCCGGTATGTTAAGCACGACTTTTTCTCACATGAGCCTTCTTGGTGCTTATGGTCATCTTTAGGGGTTCTCCTCCATGTTCCCTATCTGAGAGAAACTTGTGGGGCAAGGAGGCTGTTCAGGAATTACAGAAAATCCCCATGTAAAAAAAGCACTTTCATAAATGTGCTTAAAAGGTTGTTCTGCTGTGTCTGCATTGGCTTTTGTTGCAGAATTCAGCAAGCAACCGCAAAGAGCTGTTAAAGGGCATTTCAAAGGGCAGGAAGGAAAAAAAACTGGAATTCTGGAACAGCCAGGTTATGAGCTAAGCTGATGCTGGACCAGCCTCCTTCCCTCCTGCTTTAGTGTCCTTGGTAGATAACTGAAAATAGCTGTCTAGTAAAAACAAAGAGCAGGAGAAATGTAGCCATTCTGGGGGCTTACAGGCATCTCAAGTGGACGCCTCCCTTCAACCCAGAAGGAAGGAAGTGGAAGTTGGAGAGCTATTGCCTGATTAAACATGTAATAAAGAAAGAATAACCTTTAAAATGTGTATGTACATTACCACTCCCAACATGAAATGCATAATGAGTTTTTAAACTGAGAAGATAGATGGGAATCCATTTCCTTTGTCTCTTTGTCTTTCTCCTTTTCCTGGCTACAGGAAAGTAAGGAAGGGTTTGCTCATATTAGTTTTAAAATGTTGTTATTAATTATGCCTTCTTATAACATAAGAGAATACAGCAGAGGAACTAATGTAGAGTATCTGCCTCTATTACAGGAGAAATCTTTGCCAATACATTTTCCCCCGATAGTCAGTGTGGATATCTCCTTCTTCTGTGCTTTATGACTCCTCTGTGTCATAAGATAAGATTGTTTAGTCTTATGGTTGTTTTTCTTCCAAAGAATGAAGGGCAGGAACTATCTCAACAATCATTGCATGCTGATATTTCTAGTTTAATGTGTGTAAAAAATACAGGATTCTCTGCCACAAAATGTTGTTGTGGCTGCCAACTTTGACAGCTTTAAAGGGGAGTTAGACAAATAGAGGATAAGGCTGTCTGTGTTTGCTAGATGCAAAGCTGTTTGCTTCCTCCGGTATCAGAAGCCGTCTGCCTATGTAGACCAATCAATGGGGAAACAGGAGGGTGCTAACATCCTGTTTACAAGCTTCTAACAAGGGCAGCTGGTTGGCCACTGTGTGAATGATATGCTGGATTATAGGGCCCTTGGTTGGATCTAGTATGGCTTTTCTTATGTCATTATAATTTTTAACCCACTTTCTTTTGCAGGGTGGTTTTTGGCAGCTTACTCCTGAGCTAGGGACTCATTTGGGTCTTGATATAGATTATGTAGTCAATGTTCAGCTTACAAAAAACGGGATTCAGTCACTTGGTAAGCTTGTTTTGAATCACTGATATCATTTTTAGGTTCTACCCTTAAACATTGCCTCATATAATGTTAAAGTAAATAAACAAAATATTTCTACTTCAGAGCATATGAGAGATGACAGTTATGCTACAAATCACTGCCTTCTTTTCTGGGAGCAAATCCCAGTGAACTTGACGAGACCTACTTCAAATCAACATTCCTCCACTTAGCACTCTCAAGATGTTTTGGAATGCAAATCCTATCATTCCTGGCCTATGCTGGCTGTAGCTAATGGGAATTGTAGTGCAAAGCATCTGGAGGACACCAGGTAGGGGAAGCTATTCCAAGTTGCCACATGCAGGATTGTGCTATTCGTTGTGCTTCCCCCACCTCTCAGTTTGAAATAGATGTGAAAAGTCAGTCAGGGCCATGACCTGTTCTTCCCTGCAGTGGAGGGCAGGATGCGTTCCAAGGGGGCAAAGTTCAAGGAACCAGGCTTCAAGTTGGATGTCAGGAAGTATTCCTGACAGTTAGGACACCTAGGATATGGAATGATCTTCCAAGGGACATGGTTGAAGCCCCATCAGTGAGGGTGTTCAAGGAAAGTTCGGACAAGCACATGTTGGAGATTACATGAGCGGAGCCAGCTGGAGCTGGGGGTCAGACTAGATGGCCCAGGAGGTCCCTTCTGACTTGCTATGTTTCTTGGGCTATCAATCAAACCAGTACAGCTAACAAGCTCTAGATTGTGGCTATAGTATTTAAAGTGAAGGAGCATTTTACATTAAAAGAAATCCTTTGTATATCCTATTGTATATCCTATTTGTACAATGATTTTCTGAAGATGATGTGAATTTCCAGTTCACACATCTACAGTGAACTGTGTTTGGGAAGGCTGATAGAGGCTGCCCATGGGATGCCTGGAAAGAAAGCCTACTGAGTTTTCTGTTGAGTGCTTTTCCTACCCAGTAATTTGAGAGGTTCAGGGTCATCAAGGAACCAAGAACACTGTGAATATGAATGTCCTCTAAGTCTCCAGGCAACTAAGCCAGTGTATTCACATGTGGTTACATCTGCCTCCTCCACATATTCACTATTTACTGATGAGGCTCATGTTCCTACACTCGACTTGTGGTGTAGCTTTTTTGTGTGTGTGATACTTTAGTCTTTTGGACTAAATAAAATGAAATAAAGTTTAATATAGTGAGATGGGGGGGTGCATGTTCCCCAATAACCAAACACTGTGGACATTCCAGATGACCAGGTTAACTATCTGCACTATTAGACTACTTGATAGCAATATGCCTACTTTCTTCCTTGCTAATCTTTGCTAACAAGTACTATTAATACAATGCGTAACGAAGATTATTCTGTGCTTCTGTCTCTCTAGGTCTGAAGAGAAAAGAGAAGCTGCTGCAGTTGATTGCTACACTTCTGGTGCTGCAGCTTGTATGGTTCACTAAACTGGAAGGCATCATCTTCAAATCTTTAATGAAATTGAATGAGTCTCCTCCATCATGGTATGTTTTGGGAGCAAAGTTGACATTAGATGTTGAGTTGCCTAAGAAAATTTGGATTGGGAGAAAGGGCTAGCCATGCCCAACTTTGGGAAAAGAGTGACCTCATGAGAGGGCCTGATTCTACAGTAGCCCAATTTGCATGTAAGGACAACCCATGGGTTGTTTAAATCAGTGGTTTTCAACCACTGGTCTGCCAGATATTTCCTGCTAGTCCATGTGGGGGCCACATCGTGCTCCTGCAGACCAGCGCAGGGGCTGGCTGTGCTCCACCACCTCTTTCTCAGTTGGCATCACATTCATGGGGAGTGTGCCAGTGCTGCTTGGGGGGACTGGGGAGGGAGAGATGGCTCAGTGGGGGCTGGCTGGGAGCCATGCTGCACTGGGTCTGCCCTCTGGGTAGGACTTTTTCTGCCGTGCTGTGGTGGGGGAAATGTTGGGGCAGGGTTATGTTGATTGTGTTTTCTTGGCCAGTCTGTGCTGGTGTGTGTGTGTGCGGGGGGGGGGGTCGTTCGGCGGGGGGGGGGGAGCTGTATTTCATTATTCAGTTATTTCTTGTGTCAATGTCAATGCAGCGCCTTGTATCTGAGAGGCAACACGGCAGCCATGATTATGAAGTGATCTTAGGGGGAGGTGGCAGCAGATTTCACACTGGCCTTGTTTGAATGTTGCTCTCTGGAAGTTTCAGTTGTGTTTGATTGCATTTGATTTTGGTATTTTGTTCTTTTCTTGGCATTTTTTGTTCAGTTTCTGGTTGTTTTGGAGAATTTTATTTCCTTTTCTTTTTTGGTATTGTGTTTGGAAACTAATACACAGAATACTGTATCATGTGTATGGTGCTTTTTGTTTCTGCCTCAGCCATCCCCAAGGTGGTTTTCCTGTTTCCTCTGGTCCTCAGCTGTAGAAAGGTTGAAAACCAATGGTTTAAATCATGAGTTGTTGGGAATAAGCGTACGTGCTGCCTCCTGCACACTCTCACCACTTTCCCCTTTTCTCAGCTTGCCAAAACATTCCAGGAGCACCCCATTCCTGGTGCTGGTCATGACGCACTGGCATGCTGATGGATCAAACTACTCAGAGTTTGTGTTGGGTTCAAACTCTGGGTTATTTAATTCTTAATAACCCAGAATGCTGAGTTTGGGCATCGCAAGTAAGAACCCTGGAACTGGGTGTTCTCGGGTTTGTTCTGAAGTAAAGCAGAAGTAGCAAGTGAGCAGGCTGCGGTGTTCTCACTTGTTTCTGTGCAGCTCTGCCAATTTGGACTGCAGCATTTTTTTTCATATTTTACTGCACTTCCTTACCTGTACCTTGGGTAAGACTTATCCTGAGTCACATTATTGGAATGATTAATATGGTTGTGCAAATGTCCTCTTCATTTACTTCCCAGCCTTTAAATTTCCACAAATATTCTTTTCAGTTTAAAAAATAAATCCTTAGAGGGT